TCCGCCATGGACATTCATTTGGATTGAAATTTTGTACAATATTTCTTAGTGCCAAGTACTGACCATATTGTCGTACTTTTCCTGTATAAACTAGGAAAAAGCAAATCAAATTGAGGTGCGGCGCGCGTGATAAGTTTGTATTTTGAGGATTTTAGTTTTCAAAACACAACAGTCCGGCTCCCGTGCTCAAAGCAATTCCAACTTCAATGTCATGTAAAAGTCTACGACCAACAGACCAGGTCATCCTGGAGTCCACTGCTTTCCACTGCTTTGTAGAAATAGTTCCATTTCTCATGATCATCTGGATGTGTAGATTCGGTACGTAGTAGCAATGTGGCGGTGTGTTGATGCTCTGGTACACAACTGAAATAAGTATGTACTAAATTTTTACGAGTGTGAATTAATGCTCATAGGCACAACCCACTTCATAAGTATATCTACAGCCATTTGGGATTCACCAGTACTTGTCGGTTGAGGACAAGTGTTTCGGAACAGCCTTACTAACACGTTGATCAGCTAAAATTTGGGACTCATAAATCTGAACGAAGCTCAAGTGTAAAGTCACTCAGCCCCTATCTGCTCACCTTATTGTCGTAAAGAGATGGATCAACTGCCTTGATCACCCGAAGTGCAGCAATTTGCACCTGTCGGCTATGATTCGAGCAAAGCAATCCCTCCGCTATCTCATAGGATCTAAATTACAGTAAAAAAAGCGAAAAGTTCCATTTAAAAAAAAGATTGTAAAAAGCCTTAATAAAAATGACGTGGCATACATTTTTGCAGAGCATCTTTTATTACTTTTATAGTTCGCTATTGTCAGTCATAATTTTAATATTTTCTTAAAATTGTAGCTCTTAGTTTTTTGGGTTCGTAGTAGGGAATCAATCTCAACGGAGTCATTTCCAATACATACTACAAAAGAATATTAAAAGTTACTTTAGCGTTGTGCTAAAATCAACAAAATTGTTCTTCCTTGATCTTATTCTACGCTTGATTTGATTTTTCCTCTTCTAGGTAGTAACCATATGTTTTCAAAGAGAGAGAAATTTCTGCGGATTAAAAATGTTTGATATTGGCAAATGGGATTTTTACTGGATTAGAATTTAAGGACTTACGCAGCTATTGGAAGGTTTTGCAGGACGTGTAAAACCCGCAACCAACACTTATCTCTCTTGCAATTACTGATATCCTTGATGAATTTAGCAACGATCTGAATGTTCATATATATGGCAATCGATAGTCGACCAGAGTTAAAACTAGAATATAATAGAGTGGATCAAATTGATGAATATTTACGCATACAAAAAATGGAAGCAAACCCTCTCTTTTCCCAACTTGCACGAGTTTTGACTGCTTTTAGTTCGCTCACAACGTCTTCGAAGAA